GCCCCCGCCCCCGCCTCCACGCCGCACCGCTCCGGCCCGGCCTCCAGCCTGCATCGCCACCCCGCCCCCCGCCCCTTTCCTTGCCCCAGTCCCCGCCCCCGCCCAACCCCCACCAGCTGGGCTCGGTCAAGTCTCCCGGCTTCGCTGAGCCTTGGTTTCCCCGCCTGCGCAGAAGGGACGCCGAACCTTCCTCACGGGGTAGTGGCGGAAGGCCGGGCGGGGGAGGGGTCAGCGGATCGGCTGGACCGGGGAAGCTGCGGGCTCCCCTGGCGCTCTGGACTTCGCCCACCAGGGGCGCCGTGGCCCGCGGGACACTGCGCCCAGGCGCCGCGCCGGCTGCGGCCGGGCCGGGGTGCGGGCCTCGGCGAGGGCTCTCCACGTCTCCCCCGGCCTTGGTGTGTCGCGGGCCCTGCGTGAAGGCCCTCCCTCCCATCGGATGCGGACCGCCTGGCTGGGCCTGCCCCTCCTCGGTCCCCACCATGGAGTTCCCAGTGCCAGACGGTGGCTCCCGTTGCTGGGCTGTGTGTGGCGCGGGGGCCACCCCAGGGAATAGAGTGTGGGGTGCGTTGAGGAGGTTTGGTTGGCACCTCCTGTGCTAGGGAGATGTTCTGCTGGGGACGGGTGGGAGACCCTTGCTCGGCTCGGCGTTCCCGTGGGCTTCCGGCTGACACAGCCCCGCCCCTGCTGCTGCGCACTCACGCCACGCGCGCTCACGCCACGCGCACTCACGCCTCGCTTCGGCCCAGCTGGGGTCTTAGCTGGGGTGTGGGAGCTGCAGCTTCTCTCGAGGAGCTCGCAGGGCGCAGGATGAACGCTGACGAGGTAATCACGGCTGCTGCTTGGAGAGGTGTGACTGCAACACAGTGAGAGAGCGGATCGGGAGCAGCTAGTTGCTCGTGGGAGAGGCTGGGTGCTAGTGGCGGTTTGAGAAGTGGCCACAGCCCCTGAGTGTGGGTGGGACTCGGGGACTGGCTTCTAAGGAGCAGAAAGTAGCAGAATGGCTTCCCAGATAGGCCTTAAAGGTGTGGAGGTTTCCGCCTGCCTCTCTCTCTCGGATGCTGCCCTGGGGGCTCGCTGCCACCCCTGGAGGATGCCCAAGCAGCCTGTGGACAGCCCGCAGGGCCAGGAGCCGAGGCCTCCGGCCAGTGGCCTCGAGAGGGAGCAGCTCCTCCATCCCCAGTGCGGCCGTCAGGTGACGGGCCTCGGCTGAAGTCCTGCCTGAAATGTCATGAGAGACCCTGAGCTGGAGCCAGCTGAGAGCTGCTGGAACCCTGAGCTGGAGCCAGCTGAGAGCTGCTGGAAGGCTCCTGACCCACAAGAGTTGTGAACTAGTAAATGTTGTTCTGAGCTGCTAACTTGGGGGGAGTGTTTTATACAGTAATAGCTCACTAAGTACCACGTGGTCAGAAAGATAACAGGACGGAGGTAGCCTCTGGGTTGTTTCAGGCTGAGAGAGGGAAGGGGAGAGGGGTGTGGGCCCGAGCTCTTCCACGTGACTGGGTGGCAAAAGGTGTGTCCTGCTTGCCAGCCGGACAGACTGGCCAGAGCTGTGTCACAAGGACTGAAACCAACCTGGGGCCCCATAAGCCTCGAAGGGTTATCGGGTGCCAGGCAGGTGACTTACGGAACGGCAAGGCCGGAGCTCCAGGCCTGGAAGCAGCTGGGAGCCATGGGGCCGAGAGCGTGGAGCCTGGCCGAGGCCCACCAAAGCGGTCTTCAGGGGCTTGTTCTCTGACCCCCCGCCAGTGGCAGAAATGGTCTCTGAGCAGCCAGCCCCTTAGTGTTCCCACCCCACCCCCAGGTGGAGCCCCTGCTGGCAGAGTCTAGGCCCCAGGCCACACCTCAGGGGGGAAGGGGTCCAGGTGCCAGCCTGTCTAAGTGACAGGTGCCCCCCCCAGAGGTCCTGGCAGAAGGGCCCTGGGTCCTAAAGCAGGACATGGGGGGGGGGCCACAGGCATCAAAGCGGTCTTCAGGGGCTTGTTCTCTGACCCCCCGCCAGTGGCAGAAATGGTCTCTGAGCAGCCAGCCCCTTAGTGTTCCCACCCCACCCCCAGGTGGAGCCCCTGCTGGCAGAGTCTAGGCCCCAGGCCACACCTCAGGGGGGAAGGGGTCCAGGTGCCAGCCTGTCTAAGTGACAGGTGCCCCCTCCAGAGGTCCTGGCAGAAGGGCCCTGGGGCCTATAGCAGGACATGGGGGGGGGGGACCACAGGCATCGGCATGAAGGGCACAAGGGGCATGGGGTGCTCAAGGGAGCCTGAGCCCTGCTGAGGGAGCCAGGAGGGGACACGGGCACAGGCCTCCTGGTGAAATGTCACCTGAGTTTCGGGCCGTGAGAGCGTGTGCTTCATGGCCTCCTGTGATGTGCGCCTTTGGCTTTTACAGCAACACCTGGCTTTGTTGCCCCAGGTGCCCCCCAGGACGTCTGTTGTGCCAGGACCATCTGCCTGGGTCGCCAGGACCTGAATCCCGGCAGCTGGCCAAGGGCTGTCTAGGAGGCAGAGACAGGGGTGGGTCCATGGCCACCTCTGCGGGCTCGGTGGCCAGGCTACGTGGGTCTTTCTCTTTCTGTCTGGAGAAAATAGTGATGGGATGTGAACAAGTGGGGTGTTGCTCTAAAGGAGCAGAGCTTTTCTACGGTTGCGTGGGCCGTGAGGGAGGGGTGCTTATGCCCCCGGGCACTGGAACGTGGTGCAGAGGCTCTTCCAGAAGCTGTGGTCCAGGAAGGCCTAGAGGAAGGGGTTGGGGCGGGAGCTGGTGCAGCTGAGGCTGGTGACGACATAGGGGACGATGATGAGCAGTGGCTTCTGGGGCAGGTCTGTGGTCAGGGCCACGACTGAGGCCAGGTGGAAGGGCGTCCAGCAGAGCAGGCCCGCGGCCAGCACAGCCAGGACCTGGAGACTCACCTTCCGCTTGGCCTCGCCCAGAGCCTTGGCCCCGGAGTGGAGCCGCAGGGCCTGCAGCCTCCGCGTAGGGAACATAGAGGGTGCACACGGGCACCGCGAAGCCCAGCACCGGCGTGTGGACGCGGCTCGCCTGGAGCCAGGCCCACTCCGGCGTGGGCAGCTCGGCCCGCAGCTTGCGGCCTGCAGCTCATTGCTGTAGACCCGGGCGAAGGCGAAGAGGATTAGCGTTGCGACAGCGACACCAGCCACACGCACAGGCTGGGGCCTTAGCCCCGCGGACGGTGTGCCGGGGCCGCACCGTGGCCGGCACCGCGGGGTAGCGGTCCGTGCTCATGGTGGCCAGGAAATAGACGCTGGAGATGTCGCAGTGGCCGGTGGCCGGCACCAGCTTGCAGAGCAGCCGCCCAAAGGGCCAGCGCTGCGGCACGTGCTCGGCGACGTTGGTAGGCAGCACCGGTGTGAAGAGTCGTCGCGATGGCCAGGTTCAGGATGAACGCGTGGGTCACCGTCTTCATCCTGGGCGCTCTCAGGATCACACAGATGGCGGCCGCGTTGCCCATTAGCCGCATGGCGCAGGTGGCAGCGTACACCACCGGCGGGAACACGTGAAGAGCGGGCAGCGGCTCAGGGAGTGTGAGGCTGTGTCTGGTGCCGTTGTCCCAAGAGAGGCCGGCGCCCGTTGTGCCTGGCAAGGGGAAGCCTCGGCTGTCCAGGCCCTCCGGCCCCGTGGCCTCCATCGGGAGGCAGGACCGATAATGGTTTGTGCCCTGGGCAGGTAGGAGGTGCTTCCGAGCTGGGAATCTGGGCAGGGGCCTCCTTGGGCTGGATTCTGAGAAAGAAACAACCAGAAACTCTGGGATCTGGCTGTCAGCTTAGAATGGTACCTGCCTCAAGTTCTCTGGCAGAAGTTGTGGCCGCTTTGCTGGGGTCAAGGATTCATGGCATCTCTCTCCATCCACCCCTTTCCAGTGGCAAGAGAGAGCCTGGCAGAGTGCGTGGGCACCTCCTCCTGGGCAGCGCTTTTGGCTGGTTGGGTTCCTCCCCCAAGGCCCCCTCCTCTTGCAGAGAGCAGCTGCCAACCACCCTTCTGGGAAGGGAGGGCTTGGATCTGCCCCCCTGCCCCGACCCCAGCCCCTGTCCTGGCCACACCCCAAAGCACAAGCTACGTAAGTCAAGACAGTCCCTTTGAAAATGCACCTCCCATCATATTCCTGGCCCACTTCGAATCGGGAGGCCTGGAGCAGTGCCCTCCCAGTCAAGTTGCAGACCCTCTGTGTGTGGCCACCAGCACTTTTCCTCACTGACCTGTCTGGAGACACATGGCCAGAAGTTAGTGGCCTGGGTGGCATGTGGTGGTGGCCAGCTCAGGCGGCCTCAGGGGTGGAGGGAGGAGGTGTGGCCCCCACCGATGGGCCCCCTGCCAGCGTCCCAGTCCGTCCTTAACCACCTGGGGGACTTTTAGAACCTGCTCGCTGGCAGCCTCAGAGGGAGCTGGCTTCCCGAAGAGTCTCCAGCCTCGTGGCAACGCTGCTACGTGCCAGGAGGTGGCGGGGCCGTGGGGGGGGTGTCCCCTGGCTGATGGGGAGCCCTGGGCTGCGAGCGCTGCTGGCTCTGGGAGACCGAGGGCTGCAAGCCTTGGTCAGGGGCTCCAGCTGTCCACCAGGGCCGAGCCTTCGTCCAGTGGGCTGCCCCCAGGTGGGACCCCTACTCCCCTGGTCCCCCAAGAACCCCGTGCTTCCAAGTGGTCTCTACACACCGGCTTTTGTCTCTGGTGTGAGGTGGGGCCGGGGGGGGCCGGGGCTAGAACTTTCCTCGGGATACTCACCGTCCCACGTGGGTTACATAAGCTTCACAGCTTTGTATGAGGTGATTCTCTTTGAGAAGCAGAGAGAAGGTGACCAGCTGGGCCTGCGAGGGAGGGAGCCGCCCTCTGGTCGGGGTGGGGCAAGCTCTGGACTGGTCATTGGTGCCCCAGGCTGAGACCCACCGAGGCCAGGGGATGGGTGGTCAGTGAGTGTGAGGGGAGGCCCCTGCATCTGGGGCTGACTTTCGTGATTTGGGGGTGTTCGTGCATGGGGAGGGGTGCTGGGTCAGGTCACAGCTCCTGGACACCAGAGACAGGACGGAGAGGGGCTCAGGCCTGGCGTATGGGCCGCCCGTTCCCCTTGACTGTGTGGCCTACGTGTGAGCCAGCGTGCGGGCTGGCCTGGGGGGTGAATGGCTGACCACTGCCCTGGTGCTGGGCCGGTAGGGAGTGGCCCAGGCCTCCTGTCGCTCAGCTGCTGTCCTGGGGGTGGGGCAGGGCTCACCTCTCTGGGCCTGGTTGTGGGTCTCCCGCGGGATGGGTGCTGGGGGTCCCTATTTCCTGAGTGCCTTGGGGGGGCCCAGGGCTCCGTTTGCCTGCCAGCCATCACGTGACCGACTGGCACCCCCCGAGCGTGGGCCTGTGATGGGGGCTCTTCACCCTCATGCCCCTCCTGCTCGTTGCCCCAGCTCAGCAGGACACCAAATGCCACCCCAAACTTGCTCCGGGCCTGGCTGCTCTAGGCAGGTCTCCCCTCAAGCCCCGGGAGGAGCAGGCGGTGCCAGAATTACAAGAAACTTCCTGGCGGTTTCCCAGCACGGCCCTGGCTTCCTCTGAGGCAAGCCGTGAGTCTGGGGTCCCTGTTCACCCCACCAGTGTCTGGCAGAGTCTGGGGCTCCGAGCCCCTCTCAGCCTGATCTCTGCTCTCCTGAGTCTGTCCTGGGGGCTGCTGGCTCCCCACCCGGCCCGTCATGTCTGAGGGGGCTGGGGGTGGAAGCTGAGAGGATGGGGGCCCCGGGGCAGCAGGGGTTGGGGGTGCTGAGGAGGGGGCACTAGGCCTGAAGGTGTGGTGACCCCCCCGCCCCCGTGACCCTCACGCCGGCTCAGCGGTGGGGGGCGCCTCAGCCTCTGCTCTCTGGCCCTCGGAGCAGCAGGGGGCTTTGTCTGCACGTGGGTTGGGCATTGTGTGCTTGTCATCCTGGGGAGATGAGTTCCATTTTCAGAAATGAATCGGCTGTTTCCAACCAGCCTGTGAGGGCGTTCAGGCTGTAGAGAGAGAGGTGGGGGCCGCAGGGGAGGGGCGAGACCTCTGCCTGGTCTCCAGGGGCTGGGGGCTGGGGGCTGGGGCCTGTGCAATGGGAGCCCGTGGGAGTCTGCACGGTGTGAGTGTGAGTGTGTGTGTGCACGTGCGCGCGCGCTCTGTGCAGCCGCTTGGGCCGGGGCGGGGGGTCGGGGGAAGCAGATCCTGGCGGTGAGCCTCCCTTCCCACCCCTGCGCAGGGAGGAGGGAGAAGGGAGGGAGGGGGTGCAGCTGCCCTGACCCAGCCCAGTGTGGCTGATGGGCAGGGAGACCAGAGACAGTGTCAAGTCATAAGCAAGCTCAGTGGAGCAGCTTTCACAGTTGTGTGTAACTCACCTGGTGTGGCATCCACCTTCCACCTGAACCTGATGGTCGTGTCTCACACACACGTGCACACATCACACAGATGCGCGCCGCAGACGCACGCACTTACGCAGACACGCGTACACACACGCGGGCACGGGTGGATGCGTGCGCCCCTGCGTGCCTCCGTGTGTGCTTTTGCCACCAGGCCCGTCGCCTCTCTTGCTCTCCTCAGGCCTCAGAAGATAGCCCTGAAGGGTAAGTGCTGCCTGTAAGTAGGTAGCTGGGAGGCTTAGCTCGCTGAGAAGAGACAGGTGATTCAGGGCGCATGTCCAGGGAAGCAGAGAGAGAACTCTGTTTGTAAAAGTGAGAGGGCCCGTTTCAAACCAAGCCATTCGGACCCCTGGCCCTGCCACCCGGCACCCAGCTGCCCCTCTCTCTCCTTCAGCACTAGTGGCACTGAGCTGTCTCCAGGGGCAGGTCATGGCTTGGGGGTTCTTGACGGCTCCTGCTCGCCCTGGGCTCAGGGCCGCTGAGAGAGGCCTGGGGCAGCCAGACCGGAGTCCCACAGGGACTGCTGCTCAGCCAGCTCCGGAATATCCCAGCCCTGGGCCCAGAGTCACTTGTCTGCTCTGCAAGTATTTGTCTAGGAAAAGAGCAGTGAACAAAGAGGGGGGAATTCCTGCTTTCCTAGGGCCGCCCCTCTACCGGGGGAGGTGGGAAACAACGTGGGAAGCGCCAAGTGCATCGCAAGGTTTAGCCGGAGGTCAGGGGCTCTAGGGGGAAGGAAGCAGAGAGACATCTGTCCATCAACAGGGTGGTCCTGTGGAGAAGGCGATGCTCGTGCCGAAACCAAGGCTTGGTCCGCCCTTCTAGGGATGCGGGCTCTGGCCTTCCTGAGGGCTTTGAGGAGGGGAGCGTGGGTCGGCAAGGTCCTTAGGCCAAGAGGGTCAGAGGGGTGTGGGGTGCGGGGAGCAGGGCGCCTCGGCAGGAGCCCTGGCCTGGGGGCTGGGAGGGGCGGGAAGGTTGGAGGTCAGGATGGAGTACAGAGTCCAAACCCGTCCAAGGCCTTCGGGATGTGGGGTTTTGAGGGGCAGCCTGGGCTGGAGGCTGGGTGCCCTGAGGCCCCCTGGCCTGCCCTGCCCACGCGCCCCCTCCCCATGCTGAGAAGCAGGAAGCACGGAGGAGGTGCATGTCTCCCCTGGGCACCAGCCCTTCTCAGCCTTGGAGCGTTGTTAAGCCAGTTACCAGAGGACTCCCTCTCCCCTCCCCAGGAATAGGCGGGGTGGGGGTAGTAAGGCCCTGTCCCCTCCTTCCTGCCCAGATGCCAGCCACCACGATCAGCCCTGCTCGGCCCGACGGGGGAGCTTCACGGAGGCGCCCCTGCCCTGAGTGAGCCTGGGGCCTGTCTCCTGGGAGGTCTTCGTGCCCATGGCGTATTTGTGGACTGGTCCTCTGGTCACGCAGAGCACAGGCAGCACTGGGAGGGAGGGAGCCGGTGCCTCTGTGTCTCAGGCGGGAGGGGTCACAGGCACGACTGGGCCCTCGGACAAGCACGTGGGTTGTTGGGAGCGTGTATGCATGCGGGGCAGCAGAGCGCTCAGAGACACACCCAGCAAGGGGGCATCCGTTAGCCTGGTTTCCGGGTCTGTCCATGAATTCTATTTTGTCTTTAAAATTAATTAACTTTTGGCCGTGTTGGGTGTGCGTCGCTGCGCGCGGGCTTTCTCTAGTCGCGGCGAGCGGGGGCTACACGGGCTCTAGGCGCACGGGCTTCGGTAGTTGTGGTTCGTGGGCTCTGGAGCGCAGGCTCAGTAGTTGTGGTGCACGGGCTTAGTTGCTCCGTGGCATGCGGGATCTTCCTGGACCAGGGCTTGAGCCTGTGTCCCCTGCATTGGCAGGCGGATTCTTAACCCCTGCACCACCAGGGAAGTCCCTTTCCGTGCATTCTTACTGAAGGTTGGTGGGCAGGCGAGGCTGGTTCATGCTCGAGTCAACTCCTGCGGAGTCCTGAGTCAGATGGGAGGCCAGGCCTCCCTATGGCCCTGGGGGGTGGTGTTTGTCTCTCCACGTGGCCTCAGGGCCACACAGCTCAGCTGCTTTCTGGGCCCAGTGGGTCTGGGATGCTCCAGAGGCCAGATTCGCTGACCTTGGACCAAGCTCTCTGTCCGTGGGACGCGGAGGACAGACCAAGCTGGCAGCTGGTGGGGCCGGGGCGATGGGTCCTGCCGGTCCAGGGGCCTCTGGTCTTGCTTGTTCCCTCCCCCTTCCCACCTGCCTGGCACCAACCCCAAGCTCAGAGGGTGCAGCCTGGCCTGAGCCTGCGGCAGA